ATTCAAAAGGGCCCTTCCCAGTCAAATGCCAGCTAAATGGCAGCCCACCTCCCTCCAAATTCAGTCCCTTCCAGCTTCAAGCCACTGGAGTGACCCCCCCCTTGCATAGTTTTTTTACTCTGACTCCTCCTTTCATTGAACAACAGGGTCTGACCAAGCGACAACGCTTTTCTTTAGATCTTAATGTCCACAAATCAGGACAGAAAGAAATCATGACAGTAGAATGGCTACTACTGTACAGCGATCATCAAATTTACCTCTTAGGCAAAGTATAATGTTCTCGCCTCAAATTATCTTAAAATGTACTTTTATTGAGCAACAGCAACATAAAAGAATACTTTAACTTAATACTCTGAGCTCTGTAAGCGTTCAATTGAAAGCTGCTGCTTCCGCAGTGCATGCTGGGACAGCTGTGAATCTGAAAAATGGACAAGTCTGCTCTGATGCATACTCAATAAGTAGGGAGGGGCGAGAACAACATCTGGGGACTTTGTCCATTCTCGGTCTGCTGTTCTTGTGAATTGGAACATTACTAGGGCTGAGGCTGATGACGTTTCATGAGTACACAAGCACATAAGAACACACAAGTACACATATTGAGAAATGGCCATGGCTTGAGAGAGAGCTCAAGCTAACATATCTCAACAGAGGATGTGGTCTTAGACACAACCTATCACCTGCTTAAAGAGCACTTTTAGGAACAACACCCAGAAGATTCACCTCTCACCTGCCCTTATCTGAATCCCACTGCAAAGAAGCTTGTGTTCAAAATCACGACCAACCAGAACCCCCTAACGACCCCATGTGACCTCTTTGGCCAATCCAGTAATGAACCAAGTGGGAAAAAAATACCTCAGTTTGTTTGCAGTTACTTAGTTGATTTAGCTTCCAAATTTAATATAGCTTTTTTTAATCAACGTTCATACAATTATGGTAGATTTGAGCCCAAACGATCCATATAAGTTAATGATTGATAAAATTTGGTTAGAATTAAATGAGGGGCTTTGGTTTTTACTTAAAATTCTTAAACTCCCTTCAGCTATGTCCTTGCATGTTTACCTCTTCCTTACTTCTTACCAATTTTTAAGGTACAGTTTTGCAATTTCTTTTCAAAATGTTTATGGTGTTCAGAATTTCAGTTACATTGTCTGTTTCGGTGTCTTTCTTCCTGGAGACTCCAACCCTTCCACCTTACCATGTCTCAACTGCTCCCCTTCCTGCATTTCTCTGCCTAGAGACAAGCCTCAGGAACCTCAGCTGCTTTGCTTTGCACCTTTATCGCAGCATGGCCATCTTTCATTCTTCCAGTCCACTCATTCACTGCACACACTCCGCATGTCTTCCCTGCGACAGGCTCTGCTCTCTGTTTGCCTGCTTTAGTCTGGGTCTCAATGTCAACGCTAATGTCCCAGCATGACTACCGCAGCGCTGCTTGTCATTGTGTTTGTGTGTGCACGTGTATTTGATTTTGAAGCCTCCACTGTGGCAGATCGTTGTTTAAATGACATGAAGCCTGCAGTGATTTGACCATACAAAGATCTAATTATGAAACTTACTTGCTTTCAAAGCCGCCCTCCTCCCACAGGGCATACAAATACTTGTGATACAGTAGTGATGCTGCATATTTGATTATCTCATACTAAAGCTTTCTGGGCTGCATTTTCTAGATTGTAGATGACCTGATGCAGGTCTTTTTGTACTCAACTCCTTCACTCTCTATGTTCCATTTCTTTTCCAGTGTCTGCTTGTTTGTATTTCTTCTGTTTTTCTCTCTGTCTCTTTTTCCATTTCCCATCTTTCAGTAGTGCGTGTGTCTGTTTATAAGTCTGATTCCCTCTTTCATTCCTCCCTCCAGTCTCTTCTCTCTTCTGGTCTCTCACCATCTTTCCTCCTCCTCCCTCCTCCCACTCTGTCACTCTCGGTCCATGGCTAATTCACTGGAGGTTTATTGGCACACAGGCAGAATTGTTTTGCCAAGGCATTATAGTTCAAAATTCATTGAAGGTACAATTCTCAGAAATTGCTTTCCATCTTTATCCTTTCTTTCCAGTGCTTAAAATAGTTGTCTTTCTCTTTTTGTCCTTCCATCCTCCTTTGTAGTTTTCTATCACTCCTTATTTTTGTTAAGTTCCTCCCTTTGTCCTTTTGTGTATTCCATGGCATAAAGCAGAGATTATGACTCAAGCCTCAGCTTAAAGGGAATGTACATGAGGAGGAAACAGATATCCCTATCTTATATGAAAAAAAATATAAGAACAAAAAAAAAACCCAGTGGTGTTGCTGTAGCAAGCAAAGAACCATATATTTCCTTGTCAAACATGCTTTTTCACCAAAGTTAGTGTTTTTGAATCCACAAATGTGGTTTGTTCCTGCACATTTCATCAAGCTGCTTCCAAATGCTTAAAATGCCTCAACTGTTAAATATGAACTGGCAGTTCTGTGCATTACTCCTTTTATTTAATCCCACCTAAATGGGAAAAAAACAAAGACTTGAAATGTGACTTGACTAGAACTTGAAGGAGTTGGTAATCGGTATGGTCTAGAACTCGAATCTCATGATAAGTCAGACTGCAGCTTTTGCAGGTGCTGCGCATATTTTTCCTGTATACATTTTTTTGCAATGGGCTGTTATTTGCTTTTAATAATGTTCTGCTCTTAACTGTAGCTCCTTTATAACGAAAACAGAGATAACTCTCATAATTAACTAAAATAATGATAGAATAAACTGTGACATATAAGAACAAACTTACAAATAAGCTGAATTTCTCACCTATTATTCTGTCATTGTTAGACACATTTGATTACAAAAAATGTTCTTTACAGTAAAAGCACATCATGCTAATCATTCAGAAATACTGTATATGTTTACTGTTTAGTTTTTATACACATAATTTAAATTGCATATTCATATCAGAAAAATACTCAGACTTGGAATGAAAAGGAAAACTTCTAGATCCTGTCTTTTGCACTGCATAAATAAAGGAGTGAACAACAAAACAGAAGGATACACAGCTGTTGACTCTGACAGCACAGAAACTAAATAGTTCCTAAAGTCAGTCAGAGTTTCAGAGTAACACAGAGGCACACAACCACTAACCGAGCATTCATGTCTGTGTCATATATGTTTGGTTATCTAACAACAACTTTTTAGCTGTCTTTGTTTAAGGGGAGCTCATACTGTCTTAAAGCGGTGCTCTAGGTCACATAAACCATTCAATGATGGATCCAACCCTCTGAAGTTACAAGGGTGAGTTTTTGAGAAGGGAAGCCTGCATAGAGCATGGGTACACTACAGGTGCTAAAAATTAAGCTGGAAAATCCTTCAATATATGTCTGATTAAGCTAATCCTGGGGTCAAAACTTATCAAACACTACTTCAAGCACCTATGTGTTAAACTAGGATATGTATCTTTAGTAATAAACAGCAATGCAGTATTATAACCAAACAATATCCAATGCATCTAAATGTAATTTGATATATTTTTCCTTGTAGTAGAGACTAGTCTCTTAATATTTTTTCTCATTTTACCTCTAGAACCCAACCATTCTCCCTCCTCTCTTAAAACTAATTTCTATATCTCCAGGTGCCAAATTCACAAAATATGCATTCCTTTGCTTTTCTTCACTACCCATATTTCCCCCTTCCCTATCTCTAAGGAATGGTATTCTCATCTCTGATTTCTTCCCTCACTCTCTTCATTTTGCTCCTTTTGCTTCTGTTATTCCCAGATCTCTCTTCCAATATGCTTTTAAAAACATATTTTACAGTTTAACCTCTCCGCCTTCATCTTCCCCGCCCTTGTTATTAGCCATTTCCCTGTCTCTCTCTTCTCCTTTTGCTTATTATTTCTTTGCTCTACCACTTGTTTCATTTTCTCTTTCCTGTTATGATCCCATTTTCATTATTCATTACAGTAACTTGTTTCATCAAGTCTAAGCTCATTAAGCCCTGACCTCCATTGCCTCTTATACCTTCAGGTTAGCAAACACAGCTACACAGTCAAAATTACTTGTGTGTTTGCTTTTCATTTGAAGTCATTCACTCGACTTCCATAAACCTTATCACAGACTTACTGCTATCTCTCCCTATACCTTCTGCAGCATTCTTGTTATTGGTTGTTATGGCTTTTTCTATTCATCTTCATCCTCTCCTGCTGAGATGCACCTCCTTTCCACTTCTTGATTTGTGTCCTTGCTTTTCCCATCCTCTGTCTTGCTCCCCTTTCCCCTCCTTATCTCACTGGAGTGTATGTGTGTGTGTGTGTGTGTGTCCTTCCCCATTCCCTCCTGGCCTCCCTTCTCTCCTTCAGGTGCGTCTACTGTACTGCTCTCAGGAGGAGGCCGAGCTGGTCTTCCGTGCTGCCTGGGCCGCTGGTCAGGCTGGGGCCTCTCATATGTGGTTCGCAGTAGGCTCTGCACTCTCAGGTTTGGGCATGGAGAGCCTGCCTCGGGCATTATTCGCAGTACGGCCCCAGGGCTGGAGGGACGAGCCTCGCCGAAGGATCGCTCGGGGTGTGTCTGTGCTCACTCATGGGGCAGTGGCAATGCGGAAGGAATATGGAAGCACCGGCGGGCCAAACTTTGTCACTACTTGCATGACAGATGCAAATCAGACACAGAGACTGCGAAGCAGGATGAGGTAAGAGAGAAAGTTTTAAATACACTGTATATTATAATCTCATAGATTTCTGCACCCAGAACTTTTCCACATTTTATCAAGTTGAAATAGCAAAAAACTATGCATTTCATAGACCGGGGTCTTTAGCTCCAGTCCTCAAGGGCTAATATCCTTATGCTTTTAGATGTGTATCTACTTAAAACAACTGAATCAAATAATTGAGTCATTATCAGGAACAACAGATGCTGTTTCTGTGCTGAGGAAGCAGATGAGCCATTTGTGGTTGGTGTTTAGACCAGGAACACAGCTTAAAGTAGCAAGACACTGGCCAAAGGGAATTGTAGTTTGAGATCCCTAGGATATGTACAACAAAATGTACCACATGACTTTCAGGCGGAAGGGAAGGTATACAGGTAATGAACAACGTGCGATCAATGTGTGTGTGTGAGGGATTAAATTTAATGTAAAAACGTTTGCAGACCCCTGATTTAAAAAGGTGCGTATAAATACAGGCCATTTTAATATGTTAGCATGTTAGGTTGCAAGTCATATCAATCTTTTTCCTCAATCTCCAGTCCTCAATAACCTACTGTATGCCCTGGAAGTTCGTAATGTGTTTCTACTTCATTGCACTTATATTATTTCCTTAACAGCACAGTGTAAACTTGAAGAGATGAAGTAAGAATGTACTTCCGCTATAATTTAGGTGTGTAAAACCAGGGAACAGTTAAAGTTCCCCCCTGTACCTTTAGGACCAGAGTATGAGACCGCTCCCTTCACATCTCTGAGTCAAGACTTGAAAATTGCTCTTCAGAGACTCTTCAAATAGTATGAAATAGATTGAATGGATATATAGAAATGGCAAGATTTCAGTTTCTTTACACGGGGGTGCTGAATAAGCAGGACAAAGCTTTCTGCAAAAGATTTAGAGCAAATAAGACAATTTTGTGCAGTTTGGGCTTTACCCAGTGGTTAAGTAATAACTTTCATGATGGCCTATTGGCCAATAGTTTGTACTTAAAACGTATTGAATAATTATTTAAAATCATCAAGAAACACCAATTACCATTGTTGGTAAGTGGTGTTGGTAACCGGCCTACTTAGTCAAAGCTAGACATAAATCATGAAACTCCTGTTTGCCTGGAACAACAATCACCAGCCATAACTGTGTCGTATTCCAAAAAAAATTAAAAATAAATAAAGTGTCTTCCTTCTCAGAAACCCAAATCTGGTCAACATAGATATGCTAGCATTGCTATTAACAGCTTAACGACAAAGTCATACTTACAGCTTGCGGTTATGATGGCTTTAAGGTCGGAACAGGCCCTCGTTGCAGTCAAAGAAGTTTAGCAAATCCTACTTTGAACTGTCCAAGATTTTGAAAGCTGTCTTTGTTAAAATGCTTAAATGAACAAATGAAATGCTGAGCATCAAACTTTGCAGGGATCTTCTGATACACAAAAATAATCCATGCCTGTCGGGTCTTCAGATCCTTGGGAAGACTGAAAAATGTCTCCTTTCTCCGTGCAGCCTTGAACACTACATTTACGCCTGTGGTTCTGGCTCATTTTCAGAAGAGAAACTGCCTGCTTTGTAATTCTTGTAGAAGTAAACCCAACTGTAGGCTAAACAGCTAAACTGGTGTCTTACATCTACCTCTATTCATGCTCTTGGGCCAGTGAACTATTGGGCTGGTCTGTATGTCAATTTCAGGGCTTGACAAAAGTACAGGCCAGAACCAAATAAGGCAGCATCCCTGAATTGACGTCAATTCGACTCTTCGTTTTGCCCATTTTATGGTGGAAGTTTAGAATTGTGAGTTTTGCAGAGAAAGGAGGTGTCAATGGGGTTTGAACTTCTCTGTGTGTCCATTTCAACCACTGTATGTATGTCCATTTCAACCAATGAATACCGATTCCTCAAAAGTATCAACATTATGACATAAAGCAAACATTATTTGTCACAATGTTGTTTATTTGTCAACATTATGACAAATAAAGCAAAGTATTTTAATACTAGGGAAATGCTCGTTTGTATTATTAGTTAACTGTTAGCATGATTTAATCTTTAAATGGTCATTTATATGGGCTAATACTACCGCATATAATCAATAGAACCAGTGTAATCATATGTGATACCATGTCAGTCTCAGGAGATGGATGGAGTATGTAGGACTGATGCTTGTAATCGTGTGTTCTTATGTGTCCATAGTTGCTATCCTGTGTATTGGACATTCATGATGGAACAGTTTGCATCCCATTGGTTAAATAACATGAATGGGTCAATTTATATTGATTTCGATGCAGATGATCTTTAAATAATTAACCTTTTTTGCAATCAATTATATAAAAGTATTGATTATTTTGACAGTGTCCCTTATTTTTGTCAAAATAAGGGACACTGTAAGAGACAGATCAAAGTCAATACAAATATACAGTAGTTTCATTGTAATTGCAATAAAAAGCTTGGACTCCACTGAGCCTACCTATCTGCTTTATTCTTTGGTCTTCCTGCAGGACAGAAATAGATGGGGGCCAGGAGTGGCCATGACCACCCTTAGACATTGATTAGCCATCCCTGTGGCCACCTCTACCAGGTGATCCCATATAGACATCATTCACCTGCAGTTGCCCTCTAAAACAGAGGGTGGAAGCATAACAATATTCTCAGGTGGAACATTTCCACAAATTTTAGATCAGAATTGTTTGTATATTAACAATAAACAGACAACAAAAATACAGTAGTCCAGGTAAAGGTTAGGTGTTTTCAAAATTAAAATGATAAATACATAACTCCTCTCAATTTTTCGGAACTAGTTTGTGTGTTTTACGTGAGAGAAGAAAAAGTTATGCCTCTGAAAGCCATCTAGGAGTCTTTTAAACCCATATATATATATATTCAATTCTATTTATTTCAGTTTATTTTTATAGCACTAATTCACAACACATGTCATCTCGAGGCACTTTACAATTCTTTACATAAATGTTCTATCTAACCATAACCAGTTGATTGCATCAACTCATTAACTAGAAGGCAATTCCTCACACTAAGCATACTTGTAGGGACAGTGGAGAGGAGAAACTCCCTTTTAACAGGAAGAAACCTCCAGCAGAACCAGACTAAGTAGGAGCGACCATCTGCCGAGGCCGACTGGGGTTCAAGGAGACAGAAGTAGACATAGGGAAAGAAGCAGAGATACAAAAGACAACTTTAAGCCAGCTCCAAAGGCGGCTACGTCCAGGAAACACACATCAAGGCAGACGAGCTCCGAGCCAGCTCCCATGTCAGAGTATGAAGAGAGCGCAACCAGCCACAGCCAGAGAAACAGGACTACTCTGAAAAACAGCCAGATCTCCAGCATCTATAAACAAAGGTGTCGATGGCAGCAGCAGAGCTGATATTTCTCTCCAGGATGGTGTCACAGCCAAGCAGGAACAGACCAGATGAAGCTACTATGAGAAAAAGCAGAGAGAGCAGAATGTTAGAGATTGAACTATAAATTCTGCAGTGTGGGAGAATAGAGATAGAATGAAGCAGAATGATGAAAAAGGGGTCCTTGTGTCCTCCAGCAGTCTAAGCCTATAGCAACATAACTATAGAGATTCTCAGGATAACCTGAGCCACTCTAACTATAAGCTTTATTAAAAAGGAAAGTTTTAAGCCTACCCTTAAATAATAGATACGGTGTCTGCCTCACGAACTAAAACTGGAAG